GGGGGGGGGGGGGGGCTTCTGGGCCCCATAGCCCGACCCTTGAGCATGCATCTGCCCTAAATTCTTTGGTTTAAAAAAAACACTGCGATTGCAACCTTGAAACTTGACCTAATAGAAGGACTGAAAACACCAAAAAGGTAAAAACACGAGAGTGGAAAGACTGGAAAAGTATGAATTATGAGTGTATAAGCTTTTGCGGCATTTTGCAAAATAAGAGAGGTCCCCTTTCAAATAAAAGCCATGGTAATACTAATAAGCATGACGATTAAAGATTAGGTCACCAGATATTCCGTTCAACATAAGTTGAATAGTTTTTTTGTAAAATTGTCATGGCTGCTAGAATAACATTTATTATCGTAAAAAAAGTGTATAAATATCATGCGGTGCACTTCCTCTCAAAATGTCATTTCAAACAGTATAGTGGAAAAATATGACTAGTTGATGAATTGCAAAAAAACTGCTGTCGACTGTAATAAGGGACTTTACATAGTGAATATGACTAAGCCAGGGACTAACAGACACTAAGAAATAGATTGAAGGCAATATAGAAGAACAGAAATTTTTTTTGGCGTTTCTGCATGCATGTTTAGTTAATTTACTCATGTTGTTAATTTTAAAGCTGTTGGAAGTATATCTTTTTTTAAACACAAGCACCTGAACAAGCAAACCCTTTAAAAATTAAAAATGCTGTTTTTTTACTTCAAATCCTGAAAACAGCGCATGGCCACTCCTGTATGCGGAGTCCATTAGCGCATGATCCAATCAGGGTTCAGTCATGTGTTTGTTGTCTATTCTGAACCAATAAAATAGCATGGTGGTAACATTTATCTTTCTATCTATCTTATTATCCAATTAGAGTTATGAATACTTCAATCAGCGCCATCAGTAAATGGAAATATTTACTTCTACTGAAACTATAGTTTGGCAGCCATGTTCTCTTCGTGATTGTGCATCAATGAATTTTTATGATTAAGATGGGGAACAGGAGGACTGCAAACGTGCGAAGTAAAGGATATTCTGATCTTTTCTCACTCAGTAAAGGTTAGCCCTGGTTCAACACTTTACTGAGAGGTTTGTATANAAAGGTTTAAAGATTTAAAGCCCCTTTTCCTGGACAAACATTTTAGCCCTGTCTATTTAGGATATATATATATTATAACAGTCCTTAAAACGTTAGATAAGATATTAAAAAAGTAATAAATAACATTTTTTAAAGAAAATCTTTAATCTTTAAATAGTTATGCGTTATTAGTTATCCAAAAAACATAATGATTAAAATATTAAATATCTTTTCTACAAATCTTTATATATTTCTTAATTCTGTAAGATCTATTAGAAAGGATAGAGTAGCACCAGATCATTTAAAATACTCATCTGCAAATCCAGAGGCTTGGAGACCATCATGCCGGGCTCATGGGCCCATGGCGTCCTTGCGCCCTATCCCTATTCGCACCCCATCCCTATTCGCACACCCCAATGTGAATCCTTGAAATAGTTTTTTATATATTCAGGACAATATGTTAGATGAGGAGAAGGCAAGGAGGGAGGAATCTTTTCAGTTCACTTCAGAGGAGAAGATAAGAATACTAGACAGACAAGTAGCAGCTCTTAATACCAGGTTTATGTAGTTTATTTATATATATTAGAATACTAGACAGACAAGTAGCAGCTCTTAATACCAGGTTTATGTAGTTTATTTATATATATATATATTAGAATATTATACAGACAAGTAGTAGCTCTTAATACTAGGTTTATGTAGTTTATATATATATATATATATATATATTAGAATACTAGACAGACAAGTAGTAGCTCTTAATACAAGGTTTATGTTGTTTATATACAAATCAGAATACTAAGACAGACAAGTAGCAGCTCTTATTACCAGGTTTATGTTGTTCATATATATATATTATAACACTACATGAATGATGAACAGAAATTGTTAATAAAGTATGTCCATAATATTTTTCAATATTTTAGAATTGGACGCCTGGCAAATCAGTTTTCTTATTTCTCGTCCGAGAGCCTGGAAAGAGTTTCAACCCTTGAAAAAAAGACTAAGATCACCCCTGTTTAGATATATTTATATTTAATATTAAATATGTTAATAAAAATGTAAAATATTCCATTTATCGAGCACATTAAATATGTTTCGTTTATATTTTGCTAAATAATATTTGATTCAAATATGAAGTAAAATACGGAACATGACGGTAGCAAGATGATTTGAAAGTCGTTTTGATTTTTGCATTTATTCGAGACATTCAGTCCTCAACCTTCCTTCACGTGATTGTGAATGATTCTTGAAACAATAACTGTAAAAAATCTCCTATTTCTGGGATTTCCTAAATGTGGGTTGTCTTTTTTGTGCTGTCAATATTATACCAAAGATATTGAGAATTTTGTTCCTATTTACAATTTGTCAAATAAAACCTAAATTGTCGAGATCTGAACGAAATTCTTCATATAGGGTGTCCCACGAAACATGACAGTTGATAAATAGTAATGAATGTCGTCTTCCATATACTGTATTAGATATTAAAGGCTTTTTGCCGTTTATTTCGATCGAAAAATCTTTTGTTTAAATATATTTTACTGTAACATGACTCCCGTATAATATTTTTATTATTGTCTTCGGTATCAAACAACTTATAATAAATTATGTAAGAAGACATTCTAAGCTATTCACCAACTATCATGTTTCGTATCTCTTGTAATGTTTAAAGTACAAAAAAAGGCAATTATTATTTCTAGAATTTCACTTCTAAAACTATAGGTTGACAAATAAATGCAGTAAATTATATTAAAAATTAAAGACAACCTCCAAACCCCCCATGCTACTGTAATGTTTCGTGGGACACCATGTATATAAAAAAGAATTTAGAATTATATTTTTTATGTGTTTATGATTTTTGCATGCAGTATGGCTTGCAGGCGACTTATGCAATGTTAATTTACTATCAAAGTTAAGGTACACGTACTGCAGAGATCACCTAGGGTGTACACTAGAACTCAAGCTATCACATTTTTCAAATCTTAAACTGAAAAGTTTGCTGTTCAGAATTGGGAGTTTGAGGGGAGTCCCCCCCCCCCCCCAAGGGGAGTCCGCCCCCCCCCCCCCCCAACAAATATATATTATTGCAGAGGGGAATTCTAAAAATGCAAGTTTGAAAAAAATTATAATTTTTCTTTGTCTAAATGTCACATGAGTTTCCTCATTCACTCCTACTTTTTTGGCACATTTTTTCATTTTCATCTTCAGTAAAAATACTAAAATAACACATTTCTGAACGAAGTCACCTTTTGGACTTCTAAAGCCTGTAGATTTTTAAAGCATATTTTCATATTGTCGTAATATATTGTCGTAACCTTTAGCCTTTAACGCTCAAATATTGAGATTATATGATAATATTTGTTTGTATAAAAATTTTACTAAAACTTGAAATCCTTGAAAGAAGGTAATATTTCAACAACCTTGACAAATTAGTTCAATTGACAAGTATGTGTTCAAGAGGACTATTGATTATGAAAGCATTTTTAAACATGTAAGTTTCTAAGCTTTTATTGTAAAATAAGTGGGTCGTTACTAAATGTATCATTATAAGGACGAGTCTTTAAAGTCGTCTTTTTCATTTTCCAAACCAAATATTTCTATTCAGGCTGGTTCTTTGTGGGAATCTTAAGCGGTTGTTTACATTATTAATATTTTAAATGACAGCGTAAATGTTTTTAGAAAAGGGTATTTGTACAATGTATTTCAGAACCCGATTAAATATCGATATTTCCGTATCACTTTTAGTAAAGTTACTTTATTCCTTGTTGATTCTATAATTTTTGGGAATAGCCATGCCATGCCATCCACCGGCATTGATTCTCAAATATAATGAGCACAAGCCGGCTGTAAGAGCTGTAACTATCTGTGCGATGTCATTAGATTAATATTAGTTTGACCTAACATTCATCTAGAATACTGTTCACTAGAATTTATTTTCAAAAGGTCAATATTTTAATCTATATTTATTGTAATGAACTGGATGTATTTTGTTTAGAATTAACCTACTTTACATTATAGTACATGACCCTAATCCAACCATTTTAACTCGTCAGTTTTGGTTAAGACAATTCCTGGGCCGAGTGCTGCGGCCTGGACAGGCTAGGATGCCGAGCGCTGCTGCTAGCTCAGGCTATGGGCCTTGCGCTGCGGCTAGGATAGGCTGCGGACCGGGCGTTGCGGCCACATGTCTGACTATAACCTATTGTTAGATAGGAGTTCCATTTACTAATTTAATAGAAGGAGGGGGGCTGGGGGAGACCAAAATCGTTTTCCAGGACATTTTAGAAGCTGTCTGAAGTCTGATCAGTTTTGGGCTAGATAACTTATTCGGCTGAGACTATTTCTTGGCCGAGACTCGGGGACCATTTGTTGACTCTTCGGCTAGGACGAGAGGGGGGGCAAAGTGCTGCAGCTAGGTCAGAAAAGGGGACCAAGCGCCGAGGCTAGGATAGGCTGCGGGTTCGGTCATTGCGGCCATTGACCAAAATGAGAGATAGAAGTGGTCATGTACAAAACTGATGGATTACAACATTAATATAATATAATTGTTTTCAATTCCGTTAAGTTTTTCCATATTTCGTTTTTTTTCTTTCTTTTTTTCTCGTTTTATTTACTAAGTTTAAAATTCCAATTGCCAAAAAAGTGTGTGAATGTCAAATTTTGGTATAAATTTGCTGTATTTAGTGAAGTGCTTTTTATAGCCTTTTATGCCTATATGCCTTATATGTTAATCGAAAACATAATCAATTTATCGAAATGCTCAAATTATATCAATATGCTTGTATTTAAGGTATGCATTTTTAACAATAAATAGATTTTAATAATAATAATTAATAAAATAAGTTTCAGACATTGTCTCGATGTCTGGTCGTGGAGGATGGAGGGGAAGAGGCGGAGGTTGGAGGGGAGGAGGAGGATGGAGAAGCCGAGCTGGAGGCAGAGGAGGAGGCTGGAGGGGTAGATCCAAGCAGCAAGACTCGACCTCAGATATTTCTAGAGATTCAAATAAAAGTTTGTCAAATGATTCAAGGATATCAGATTATTACGAAACTGTCGGGTGTCCGTACAAAGCTTGGAGACATTATCTTCCAGATATTCCCTTTAACCCTGCAGCATCTATTATTGGCAAGGTAGCTTTATCACTGACTAACTTAAAGTGCCCGGCGTTGCTCGTGAAACAAAAAAAAATCGAATTCTGAAAAAAAAACATTTATAGCTAATATATATTCACATACAAATATATATAAGAGCGAAGAGCTTTATTAATTGGTGTAAATATAAAAAGGTTCTCACTTACATTTTGAATTCTAGAACTCTCAAACTTGACAATAAAACCTTGTGAATTCATATTTACCTAATATTGGTTATAATAAAACTAGTCCATGCAGAAAATCGTATTTAGAAATGATTTAGTAGTTGTTTTTGGACATCTGCGACCCGGTGTTGAAAATTGCAGCTGCCAGCAAGCTGGACAGTAAAAAAATAGACTCTATAAAGTAAACCTTCTAAACTCTATCTACTCCTTCTCTTTAATGCTGTTTCTCTTCAGGGTTGGCAGGACAGGGATTATACTTTATCTTCATTTAGTTTGCTTTTTTATGACTATTTAAGTTGCCTAATTTTGAGGTTTCAGTCACTAAGGAAAGGTAGAGCTGATCCATTTGAAGATACTTATCAGAGCTTATTATCCTTTTTTCACTGTTAACATCTAATATCTTTATCACTTAATTTGAACACTTGAACATGAGGGAAAATCTTTTCTTTGTGTTCGAATTTTTCCTTGGATTGAGTCTGGAATATCTGAAATAAGCTTCTTTCCTCTCCTTTCCAAATGCTGGCAAATGGAAACTTCTGAACGAAGTCACCTTTTGGACTTCTAAAGCCACTTTTAATACAGAATCCATCTATGGTCAATTCAAACTTCTTCCTTATCTGTATGTCTATGAATTCGTACATTTTCAGCTTAATATTCGTAGGTTAACATAAATTACAGAAGAACTGGTAGGTGGGAACCTTTTTTAATATACATACTTTACATAGATGAAATGCCATCAATGATTTCCATCAGCTATCTTGGAACCTTTTTTAATATACATACTTTACATAGATGAAATGCCATAAATGATTTCCATCAGCTATCTTAAACCCTATCCGACGTAGGGAGGGATAATTTTGGGAATCCTAAATAAACAGACTCCTGTTTTAAATTAATATGCAATTCCTACTTATTTAAGTTGAAGTGTGCTGTGTGGTATCTGGAGAGGAATGAGAAAACTCAGCGTGAAAAATTGTTCGACAAAGGATTCTTCAGTGTTAACATGGACAAAATGATTACAGGGATCACATACTTAAAAGAAAAAATATATTTTCTAGATACATTTGATAATTTTAGCTTTTTACACGAATATATACATGAGGTGTGTATTGAACACGCTTCAATATTATATCTAATATTTATTAGTTTTAACACACAGCCTAATGTGCTATATCAAATATCATTATTTCCTAATTATTAATAATATTATACTTCTTAGATCTTTTTTGCCATTTTTCAGCTAAGTAGTAAACAAAATTTTCATGCAAATATAAAGTCAGCATGTTCAATTATGAGGAATGAAGATAAACGAAACTAATTCTGAAAGAAAGATTTGCTTTCAAGTTTGTTTTTATCAGATGAGTGTGTACTGGAGGCCTGGCCTCGAGTTAAAGACGAACTCGAGGAGAAAGCTGAAAGAGTTTGTGCTCCTGATGAAGGGTTATATATTCTGACTATCTTTACTTTATAAAAAATGTGTAAAGGAGAAGAAAGAAAAAATATGTTACCCAGAAAGGCAGAAAAAGGAAAGAAAAAATTATTCAGTTTTAATTTTTTTCCCCCAAATTTGCCTAGGAAATCAAAAATAAATGGAAATGGATTCAATTTTGTTGAAATTTTTAATATCAACTTTATAACAGGAGAGGGAAGGAAATCATCTTCAAGTAAGAATATACAAACAACCCTGTGACCTCTTGATTTTAATATATTAATCAGGAAATAGAGGCAGAAACTGGAATGAAAAGCGTCAATTTTCCAACAATTCGAGCTCGGATTATATACGGGGACCATTTGTTGACTCTTNGTAAGATTAGTAGCGATCAAAAGCGCTTTTTTATCGCATTAAGCCTATACCCCCTTTCATTTTTCACGAACACTCCCTTTAAACACTTAATTTTTTATGTTTTTTGTTATAATTACTTACTAGTTAGCAACAATACAAATTAAAAGAAAATAAACCAAAAATGAAAATCAGAGGAGTTAAGAGTAAATACTTTTAAGAATTCCTTCTTATATTTTTACCCACTTTGATACTTTTTCCCCTAAAATTCGTTTTTTTCCCCTGAAAATCTTTTCCCCCAATTAGTGATTAAAACCGCCAACAAATAAGAAGGTGTGGGTGAATATTTTAGAAATAAATATCCCTGGTAGAAAATAAACCAAAAATTGTTTTAAGCCCATCACACCGTTGCGCCTTCTCAAATCTTCCTTGTACAACAAGCTGGTCACTGTAAAAGGTAATATATCTGTTCTAATGATATCGGAGCTGAAAACTTTAGAATTATGGATATCGAGATCAATACTTGATCTTCTCTTTTTCTCAATCTCAAAATTGATTTAATCTTAAGTTTGTGGCACTTGGAGAAACAAAAACAGCCAATCAGAGAAGCCGGGAAATTTAAAATTTAGTGTGCCTTTAAATGAGTGAACTCTTGTTGGTCGGAAACTGGCAAGAGAGAGAAATTATGAGAGAAAAAGAGTGGATTAAGCAGGAAATAAAAAGTGTCCTCATTGGATATTGAGATAAAGAAATCGGGATTAAGGGTATCCAATTCTAAAGTGGCCAGGTCTAGACACTGACGTGTAAACATATAACCAGTAAACATCGTTCTTAAATGGGCTAAATTTAGACGGACATTTACACCAATGACAAGCATAAATTATGTGACAACATATTTATTCAAGTTAAACATATATATCGGTAAGACTTTATCTACTTTGTCCGAAATATATATTATTATTATTATTATTATTATTATTATCAAACCCTGTACATAATATGTCCTAGGTTGCTGAGAATAAATCTTGGAAAAATAATTTATTTTAGTATTTAAAAACTGAATATATATAAAAATAGATGTACACTATACTGCGCATAGTGTACAATGTACATTGTTCACTTGCATGAATAATGTACATTGTATTGTACAGGAACATAACAAATAAAGAAAAATGATTTTCAGGAACAGTTATTAGGGTGTCAGGAACTAGACCAGTTAATTCCTGGCTAGCGTTTCAGTGCAATGTTTGTCTAAGGAACCAATCAACAGTATCTCATATGATCTGCAATTCAGGGGATAAAAATTCTTCATTGTGATTTTACATTAGGTCAAAATTAAAAAAATTTGTATTGTAATTCAAGAAAGCTAGGACAACATTTAAGTTAAAGAATTTATTATTCTCCATTTTATCTTAAAAACATCACATTCATTTTCAGAGCAAAAATAAATATCGCGTTTTACAACATTTGGTGAAAATGAGGCATTTTAAAGCAGATTTGAATCAATGATAGTTCTCAAACTCCTTGTTTCTGAAGTGAATATCGTGATATAAGTAAATATCGTTATTGAAATGATGCTTTTGTGTGTTTAAAACACATTCAGGGTTCAAATGCTCAAAATGTACACCAAATCTTGTTTTGTTTTGAAAATAAACGACCACTTAAATCGTAAAGTCGTAAGTTTAGAAGAAAAAACGTTAAAATTTGTTTAGGTATAGTCCATAAAATGTTAAAAATTGATTGATTGATTATTTCATTGATTGGTTGATTGACTAGAGAGTTCTGTATACATCAGGCTGAGGGAAAATACACCCAACCTCTACGCTGTGCGGAACAGGAATGCAGGGAAGGGAAATAAAAAATCAACGATTTTAAACCTTTCATAATTTGTTCATCCCTCTATTTATTCTCATAAAGATATTTTTTTTTGCCATGTTATTTCTGATCAGTTTNCCCATCTTATGATTTTATTTTATTTTGTAAGGAATCGAAAGAACTTTACACCGCTCCGCAGCAGTAAACTAACTGTAACTATAGACATGCAGCAGGTTAATTAAATTCACCAGAAATAATAATAATATCAATTATCATGTTATCGTCAAATATTCCAACTTTTTTAGACGCTTTGCACCTACTTTCCAGTGGTTTAAGGTTATTGATCGATTTAAGTGCACCTCGAAATACGAAGAAACTTTTTTAGTGCAAGAGTTATCAATATATCAATATGTGGAATGATATTCCATATGAAATCAAAAGTGCTGGAAATCTGAACAGTTTCAAAAACAAGCTCGATAACTGGCTGAATTCCTGAACGGCCAATGATGTCGGAAAAGAGATGTTTTAAATTATCACACCCGTGATATATAAACATAATCACACCAATTTAACCAATAATAACTATTTACAACTACTTTACAGGGAAAGGGAATTTTATTTTTCCAAAGGTTCCCAAGACCAACTTTACTTACAAACATCCAGAGCGAAGCAAGGAATGTTTTGTTAGCTAAATTGGCCGAGGGAACCCTTGGATAAGTAGATAGATAGATAGATAGATAACGTAAAATTTTGGGATTGCTCGAAAAAGAAGTTGTACACAATTTTATCGTCTTTTGAGATGAAAATGCGCAAATTTGTTAATGAAAACTTCTCAGAGCGGGTCGTTATTTTACTTAATTGTCCCAAGGGACCTAAAGGCACTTAAGTCCCTATGTTGGGGAAATCTTGGGTCGAGAATATTGGTAAAAAGGCGTTAAAATAAGTATCTTCCTTTGTGTCTTGTAAAAGCGCGATAACTTTTTCAAGGGTTATTCCCAGTGCTTAGGATCCATTTAATTTTGATGCGGATCCGAACCCGGATTTTTGGTTGATATTTTGCCTCTTGGGTCCGGATCCGTGGATCTGCATATTTTTGCGGATCAAACGGATCCAGATCCTAAGCACTGATTACCCGCCTGGCAAATTTTACTATTTTTTATCGGGAGTATTAAATACATTTTGTTTATAAAACTTAAAGGGGGTCATGTAAGATCACATAAAAATGTGATTTGTTATGAAGTTTAAAAATATTTTTCCGTGATCATCAGATATACGATACAATTGTTCAGGTTCGTTTGCAGGAGGTTAGTCAGGATGAAGTTGGTAGAGTTCCTCGAACTGTAGAGGTTGAACTAACACTGGATACTTGTGACACCTGTATGCCAGGTAGGATTCTAGAACTGTTGAGGTTGAACTAACACTGGATACTTGTGACACCTGTATGCCAGGTAGGATTCTAGAACTGTGGAGGTTGAACTAACACTGGATACTTGACACCTGTATGCCAGGTAGGATTCTAGAACTGTGGAGGTTAAACTAACACTGGATACTTGTGACACCTGTATGCCAGGTAGGATTCTAGAACTGTGGAGGTTAAACTAACACTGGATACTTGTGACACCTGTATGCCAGGTAGGATCCTAGAACTGTGGAGGTAGAACTAACACTGGATAC